CTCAACGTAAATTACACACGAACAACATTAAGCTACTCACGCAGAGAAGAACGGCTGCTGCTGCATCATCATCCTCATCATTTCTGCTACACTGGCAGGGCTAGGGGCCAGGACTCTCCTCTTCGGGTTCTCGGGGGATGTTGCTCCGGGTCCGATAACAGACACCACACCCGCAGTAGATGTGCTCGGTGTGAGGTCTCGCAGCAAGCTATCAAATACGGCGCATTTCTCGGCTTTAAAAAAAAACACTATGCGTCGCCAGGTGTTTCATCGGATTCGAGGTGTTACCTCCTTTGACAGTATCACAGTATCAGCTTAAAGCACTTGTTGCTGCTGAGTTTGCATCTTTTGCTGTGAAGTACAGCCAGACTTTTGACCGCTTCGCCTTGGACATTTTTAATCTGTAGCTCTGCTCTAACAGAACGTACGTACCTGGGCCCGCCTACTATCCTCGGAAACGTAAAATGATTGGCTAGAAGTGTATCACAGCTCAGGAAAAAAAAGCACCGAAATAAAGCACCGAAATGTGCGCTGCTTTTCGGTCTGGTTACTACCGTTTATGTAGTTAACACTACATCATAAAATAATAAAATAAAGTCTTTCCTGAAGGAGACAGTTCTTCCTCTGAGTGGCAGATAGGGAACCAAGCCTAACGTGATGCAGCAGTGATATGAAAGCATTCAGCTCAGACACAATAAAATAACACAAAATCAGCGCCTGAGCAACATGAAGGTCTCATCTTTTTCCAAGCCACTTGTTGATATTCAGTAAGAACAAACGGCTGCATATATATTGTAAGGGGAGAGAAAGATATGCTTGAGATTTCAGTCATGCTTAAAGCAATGCCAAAGGTTATTGCTGTGCTAGTTGCCCTTGGAGACCAAGATGCTCAATTCAGTCTGCAGAATAAATCCACTGGACAAACAGAGCAAACAACACAGTGATGATGTTTTGTTTTTTTTGTTAGTGTGTTAAAAACACCAAATCAGCTTCAGAGGCACCTTTGAGATTCATCGTGTTTAGACAAAGAGTGCATTCAATCATAGAGACCATGTTAGAGTTCACTGATACAACAGCTCTGGTCCTTTAGTAGAACTGATGGATGTTTCCTTTTTGAGGGGAATTTTTCAATGCAGGAGATTAAAAAAAGGCCATATTTCTAATTTGTTTTTCATACAGTGTTCTGTAGTAGAGCCCTCCTGATTAACTGGACTGGTAAACTGGTAAAATAAAATCTAAATCTATCGATCCATTTTCTCACACTTATCCAACATGATGGCAGAAAAGGAGCCACTGTCCCCCCATTCTCTCTTCACACATAATGAAGAATGTTTCATACTTAATGTTTTTTAATTGATCAGCACAAGAATTAGACAAAAAATATAATTAGACAAAGATAACCCAAGGAAAATCAAAATCCAGCTTAAGTGAAAAGTTATTCAAACTACTTTATTAAGGGAACAGCTTTGAAAAACTGCATGTTGTATTTACTTGGGTTCTTTTTTTACTTTGTCTAATTTTATAATGTGTTTAATGAACTGAAACATCGACGTGTGACTGTAAGGAAGAGGACTGCCTTACTATTATTTATATTATAATCTGTATAGCACTTTAGAGAACACCTTGCACTTTATTAAAGGCACCTTATCAAGCACTTCATTTAGCATCGCACTTTCAGCATGGATTTGCACAGTTAAACATTTGCACACAAGAAGTTTAATTGAATATTTACTGGGAATTTCAAAATCAGTTGCTAGCCTTGTTTCAGATCCTGCACAGCTGCTCTTCATCTAGGAATGTGGTGGTGTCTGTGAGGAGAAAGGAATGGTGATTGAGAGAACATAAGCTTTTACCAGTAAGGAAACCTGTGTTCTCTCCAAGGTGTTTGGGCAAATGTTTCCCCGGGGTCCAGACACCATTTAAAGGTTCCGGGAGAGACCATGGGTTAAGGGAGTGTGGGGAATCCTTTGTGCTTGGGTTTTTGGGGTTTTATAATATTGGGTTTGGTGTAGGATTAAAGTCTATAATATTTATTAAATGTGAAATGTATGTATTTATTTATTTATTCAAATTGGTATATTGTATACTGTGGTGGAAGGTTGGGATTTAAGAATTCACCTGTGAGTGGAATAATGGTTTAGTCTGTGACAGCTGAAGGTATTTAAGGCTGCCAGCTCTCATTAGAGAGGGTTGATTGTGCTGTGAAGAAGCTCAAGAGTGAATTGTTTTTAAGGAGAGCTGTATGGCAAATAAATATAAGTTTGTTCCACTAAAATTGTCCCGTTTCTCACTGTAAATCCAGCTGCTAAGGGCTGCCTTGTTATAGTGACAAATAAGCAAATAGTTTTTGTCAGCAGTATTGGTGGACATACTTTTTCTACTGTCAAATCTACAGTCTCTACCCCATGTGCACGTGACGTGGCAGCCGTACATGAAGGTCACATGTCGTAGCTCCTCAGCAGCCGTTATCACTGTGTCTGAAAAACTCTCTGAAGAAGCATGCCACACAAAGGGAGCTCGTCCTCTGGCTAAATTAGATCTGCATTGTTCAGAAATCGACTGAACAGTGTGTGTGTGTGTGTGTGTGTGTGTGTGTGTGTGTGTGTGTGTGTGTGTGTGTGTGTGTGTGTGTCTGTGTGATGCTCCCTGTGCTGGCTTTAAACAGCGACTCATAGAAGCACAGGACTTCTTCATCATGCAGAGTGCATGTGCTGCAATCACATGATAAGTTAGCACTTTTGCATTTTTAACACCTACCATAAATAACCTTGTGAGGCTGTGTGTAAACAGGGGCATCAGTGCTACACCAGCATGTGAGTGTGAGTTCAGGTCCAGCTGCTGTACTGTGACGTGATCCAGCTTTTAAAGGCTGCTGTATGCTACATCCTTTCTCTACAGACGTGAACACATCAGAATTACATCCCAGCATGAGACAGAACTAGTCATTAGTTGGCGCAGCATCCACACAGCTACAGGAAACAGCTCAGGCTGCTCGTTTCAGCCAATGTCATGATAAGACAGAGATGGAGACAGCAGGGAAGGTGAAATAAAGACATCATAAAAGAAACACAGGAAAAAAGAATGAATTTTGAAGTAGTGAATTTTTCCATTTTTCTGTTTAATGTACACAAAGAAGCGACTACAAAACAAACAAAACAAACAAACACTGTGAAAATTTAAAAGAGCTTCCACAGGAGCTCTGACCTATCGGGGCATGCAAACTGGAGCTATGGTGGCATCCTGTGGTGCTGGCAAAGGATTGTTTGGTCCTGCTGGTTAGCATGTTACAGTGCATGCCACATATGCTCCATCAGATTCAAATCTGCAGTTTCAAAGCTGGGTCAACACCTTGGCGGGGTGCAGTGTCTTGCAGGCACAGGCTGCTACCATGGGTTGGTGCCTGTCTTTGGTAGGGTTAAATGTAAAAATAATATCTACACGTACAGCAGTAGTCTTAGATTTCTAGCAATACATTGCATTCTAATAACGTGATCAGTATTTGTCATGTTGCCTGTTGTGGTTGTGGCTGATAAGCACACTTGTAAACCCTGTAAACCAGCGGTCCCCAACCTTTTTTGCGCCACAGACCGGTTTATGTCTAACAATATTTTCATAGACCGGCCTTTCAGGTGTCGCAGATAAATATAACAAAATAAAACCAGTACTGGTACCAAAAAATGTATTCATAACACACAGGAAAAGACCCAGGGAAACAGAGTTAATGATAAAAATGATTAAAAAAATAACGCTAAAAACCGATAAAAACCTAAAACCCATGAATTTCACACCTGAGCCTCAACTCTCGCACGGCCCAGTACTGGTCCGTAGCCCGGGGGTTGGAGACCGCTGCTCTAAACCACAAAAACAAACTTTTTACTCATTCAGCTCTCAAAAACTACGCTTATATTTTGTATTCAAACCGTGCATGACGTGAAAACCCGTCTCAGTTGTTTAGATCTTGCATTTTGGAATCCTTCAAACAGTTTGGACAGACTCAGCCACGGCCCTCGAGAGGGAGCATTATTCTTCTGAATGATGTTTATTTTTGCAGCAGGTATCAGAATTTGATTGCATCCAGATTGAGTCCGATGATTTGCTTAATTTCTTAGCAAAATCAGAGTAAAATCCTTCACATGCAGTGCACTGTACTGCAGAGATTTATTGTGTTAGTTCAGAAGTGACATCCCACTGCAGCAATGGCGTCTTGTTTACCTTCGCCTACAGCTTGGATCAGTCTGTAGTAGAGGAAAAATAAACTCATAGCCCAATGTCAGAGGTGGGAACTGAACAGCCTTGTTATATTGCCTCTGTCAAACTTTTTACAGCACTTTCTGCATATCTATCTACATATACTATATAATCAACAATCTCAAAATACATATAAACTGAGTAATCCACAGTACATGGTGTTTAGTGATACCGACTTATCCCCACACACTGTGCTGAGGCTTTAACTTTGTGCCATTGAAAGTGTATGAACAAAAACACTTACAGGGTAGTAAAGATACATAAAGAGAGGCACTTGAGTGAATGCACACACACAGTTCAGGATCACAGTAACCCAAATAGTGGCAATGATATTTATGAGAGCGTGTGAGTCATGCAATCCAAAACAAGGCAGAGTGTGAAACGACTTCTTTAGAGCACAGTAGGTAGAGCACACCAGTGGAGGGACTGTGGGAGGATGGTGGAGAAGCAGCATACCAGGCTGTAAATCTGCTCCATCTAGCTCTTAGAGAGGGTTGAGCATGTCTTCTTCCACAGCAGCTCAATGTCTGGATTTGAGCTCAGGAAGCTGTTTCCATTAAGGATTTGCAAAATATGTCAAAAACATGAAGTAAAATAGCTTGGGAAATTATCGATGTTACTTTAATAACATGCAGACTCCCTCTGGGAAAATGAATAGATTGCTAATGCCAAACTGATGTCAATGATATTTTTATCGTAGATCTATAGATTTAGACTTTACCACTGTGCAACAAATTTCTATCTGCTCAAGGATGTCCAGTAAGGTACGCTACCAGTGAATGAGTTAAGAACAAGTCTGCAACTGGGTGCCAGTTAACCTATTATAGCATAGCAATTTACTATTGACCTTTCAAATAATACTGCATCTTACAGGGTTTGATAAGGTATGGCATTTTCCCAGTTGCCATACGTCACATCTTACTCCAAAGACGATTGCTTAGCACTAACATAAGTGACAGAAATAAGGCCAAAGTCAGTCGATCTATAATTAAGATGATCATTTTTTATAACGTGTTGCTAATAGACATGCCCAGATGTATTAGAGATCAGGGTTTGAACATCCTACAGCAGAATAGCCTTTTTAATTTGCCCTGTAAGCTTTGAGCTATTGGCTCTAGACTAATATAGTAACAGCAGCTAAACTATGAGGTCAGAATGAAGTATGTTTTTGAGAGCGGGTGTGTAACTCAATATGCAAAACCAAATGAAGAGATTCCCCGTCACCTTTCTCCACTGGGTTTGAAGTCTACTGGGCCTTTCTTGCTTTACTAGACTGGATCTGCATTCCCAGATTGAGTCTCCGCTCTTCAAAATGATGCAAATGTAATAAACCTGTTGTAGTTTGTCCCTTTCTCATGAGAACACTTAATGAAGGATTTTGGTGTCAAATCTATCCTAAATAGTATAGGAAGCCATGGTTGAAATGAAATGTAATGGCGATAATGTGTTTTTCTCTATTTTGTCTTCTTTCTCTTAGTTTATTGCCTTCGTGTCTTTGTTCTTCATCCTGGTTTCCATTACCACCTTCTGTTTGGAGACTCATGAGGCTTTCAACAAAATCATCAACAAGACTGATGTGGCGCGAGACAGCAACGTGACCGACTCAGGTCCACAGTATGAGATCGAAACGGATCCTGCTCTTACGTATGTGGAAGGTGTTTGTGTCTTCTGGTTCACCATTGAGTTCCTGGTGCGTGTGACCTTCTGCCCAGTCAAGTTGGAGTTTTTTAAGAGTCTTCTTAACATCATCGACTTCGTGGCTATCTTGCCTTTCTACTTGGAGGTTGGGCTGAGCGGCCTTTCTTCAAAGGCTGCCAAGGATGTGTTGGGTTTCCTCAGGGTGGTTCGTTTTGTTCGTATTCTGCGTATCTTCAAGTTAACACGACACTTTGTGGGACTTAGAGTACTGGGCCACACGTTACGGGCTAGCACCAATGAATTCCTGCTGCTCATCATCTTCCTGGCATTGGGAGTGTTAATTTTTGCCACAATGATATACTATGCCGAAAGAATCGGCGCCAAGCCCAATGATCCCACGGCTACCCTCCACACTAAGTTCAAGAACATCCCCATCGGCTTCTGGTGGGCCGTGGTAACCATGACAACACTGGGATATGGTGATATGTATCCAGAGACCTGGTCAGGTATGGTCGTGGGCGCATTATGTGCTTTAGCTGGTGTGCTGACGATAGCCATGCCTGTGCCCGTTATCGTCAATAACTTTGGGATGTACTATTCTCTGGCTATGGCCAAGCAGAAGTTACCCAAAAAGAGGAAGAAACATATCCCTCAAGCAGTGCAGGGAGGGTCCCCCACCTACTGCAAAGCTGATCTCAACACCACCTGCAACAGTACTCAAGGTGACCTGTGCCACGTCAAAGGGAGCAGGGTACTAGAACGCAACCGTTCAGGTAAGACCATATGTTTAGACAAAGGTCATATGGAAAACAGAACTAAGACGCTTTGTTTAACAGTTAATTCAGATTACACTGAAGGGGGTTGTTTATGTAGTGACAATGAAGAGAATTCATGAGGGACTTCCTTTCAGTTAGAAAGCCGTGGCCATCTGACAGATTCTACTGATTTCCCCATGTGACCCATAAGCTCCAAAGCAGTTTCCCTACAGATGACTGAGCTGTTTTTACAGCACCAATGCCAAAGGTACAGAGAGTGGGAGATAAGCATTCAGACTCCTTGTTTCCAAGTGTTTCTTCCTGTAAGGATTGCTCATTTGGTGCTCAGACCATAGGTGGCTGTTTTTCCCTCCAGTACCATATCAGTAATTGACTCTGACACATCTGATATTGATGGAAATTAATGTTGACCTCTGTATACTCGCTTTCTTTCAATTCTAATACAGACATTCCTCAGGGTTGGTGCTCCCTACTATCTGTTTATTAAGTCCCTGAAACTTACATTTAATAACCGCAGAATATTTCATGATTCATTGACTGGATGCACAAACAGAATCATTCTGCCGTAGTCACCTCTCGGATTTTCTCAAAGGTCATTTAGAATTTAAGGCTGCAAAGATACTTTCCTCTCATGTGTCCTTTAGATAGGACATATAGATACCAGCTTTGTACTGAGTCTGATAGTTCATACAACCCCCAACCCTATGACATCAGAATATGTTGTTGTTTTAACTGTTGTTGGTAATGGCACACATATTTCTTTTCCAAATCATACAACTTGTTCTGAACAATTACATATTTTTGCAGTTTTTTAAATCAAACAATCACAGTGTAATCAAAGTACAGAATTGTAGCTTTTAATTCAAAGAGTTTTACAATAATGTTTGCATTTACTGTTTATGAATCACAGCCATAGTTCCCATTGTCAGAGGCTCAAAGTAATTGGACAAACTAACATAATTTTAAATGAAAGGATTCAAAACAGTCCTTTCAAGTCTGGAGCCCATGGATCTCATTACATGTATATTTCCGCCACTGAGATGCTCTGCTAGGTCTTTATTTAATTGCCACTCGTTTATAAGTTGTGCCTTCAGTTTTTGGTTTTGCTTTTTTGGGGGAGGGGCTCCTTGCACTGATGTCTCTTTGGATCAAATATAGAGAATTCACCTGTCCAGGTAACATATATGCGAGTTAATTCATTGGAGCCATGAAGGTGCATCTGAAATTAAGACTATGTCAAACAATTGACTCTAATTCCTGAACAGATAATACAGTTTTTGCACCCGTTCAGTTAAAGTCTGCACCAATCACGTCTTCACTGTTTGATTTAAAATCTAATACGTTTGAGGGCACAGATGTATAAATCTGTGTAGCTATGGTAATTGCTAATGCTCCACACTGGTGTTATTTAATCTTGATACTTTTTCATCTTCACCATCCCCCCCAAAAATTGATATGATTCTCCTGCAAAGGGAAACACTGCTATACCAAGGACCTCCACTGTCATCCACAAACTATTAGAACCACGTAAATGTACCAGCCCTTCAATTTTATTACATATTTAATCATAAAAATTGACATGGCCAATTGTGAAACTGTCAGTACGTGTCTTTAGTCCCCAAAGAGGAGCTCTATGACTGCCAGAGCATGTAGTTACACGTTAAGAAGAATGTATTAGCCTGATCGCCTTCCTAATAATGGATGGAAAATGTCACTCAAATACACAGTCATAGCTCTTTTATATAGACAAGGCAAAAACGACATCAGGTTTTGGCTCTATGAATTATGCTGTTTGGCAGGGTTTTCCTTTTTGGGTAAGAATGGAAACATCAGTCTCACCTGTATCTTTTCACAAGGTTAAAGTAAAAACAGATTTCTTGAAATCTTTGAAATCCACAGAGTGTCGTTATTCCATGGATTCAGATCGTAGTTTCTTTCTGTTGAAGGCAGACGTGAGGATTGTAGTTTCATTGCTTGGTAACTTCTTCTGTTGTCATGTCTATGAGGGAAAAGTACCACAAAATCATCAGCTTGGTGTAAATTGCATGAATGAACAAAAGCAAATATGGATGTGCAAATGGATTTTTCTCTCAGTTCTGTCTGTAGACTGCAGCGGGGGCAGCGACCTCACCATGTCTCCTGAGGAGAGGGTTCCCATGCGTAGGTCCAGCACCCGAGAACAGGACCGCCGGAGTGGGGGGACCTGTTTCCTGCTTGCTGCCAGTGATTACACCTGCCCTGCAGACGGAGGGATACGAAAGACAGGTAGTTTAACTGATATGTAAAATTTAACTTTTTTAATGTCATTTAATTCAACATCGAATTAGAACATTGTGATGTGATTTTATAAAGTATTCTAAAAAGCATGCAGATCTGTTGTTTATTGGGAATTCATTGTCAAATCCACGCTTGCTGTTGTGCACTGCTACTGATTAGTTGCTTGAATCATCAGTCATCATTAGTAAAGTTCAGTTTCCTGGAACCACCGGTCTGAATAAACCGCCTATCATTTTAGAAGGTACTATTAAAATCACAGATACTTGTCCAAATGCTCATCAGCTGATCCATGTCCTTAGTGAGTGGCACACCAACATCCCAGGAAGGGAGGAGGCTTTATGTTCAGCCCTAGTCAGCTCAGGTAACGTAACCTGTTGACGTGCTGTCGCGACTCTCCACAGACACACTGCATAACATTTTTGGCCTTTCTAAGGGGCAAACGCATCCCGGCAGCTGACTCAGAACTGTTGCTTTCTTCACAATTTATTCCTGTTTTCTGGTTGCCTGGAAACAGTTGAATACATTTCTGACCCAGTGTCTTTAGTCAACTCATAAACATATTTATAGGGTAGGGTATAAATCACCAATGGATATCAGTCTTATAGCTCTGGCTGCCGTTCTTACAAATCCTGTACTGGCTGAGCCCTACCAAACATCATCATCAGAGGATCTGCAGGAAAGAGACGAGGTTTTAGTTTCTGTTTGTAACTCTTGGCCATAAAGCTAATATTTATTTCTAAAGACTGAAGCTAGCTAGGAAGAGAAGCTTACATTATCAGCTCCTGTTAGAATTGATAAATACACTATTTATCAGTTTCTTAAACTTTTTCCCTTGTACCTTTGGTTTTTACATTATTTAGCAAACCATCAGTTCCAATAAAGCAGTTCTTTAAATTTGAGTTTGCAGAAAAATGAAGAAGTCACTTTCCCAAATATTATGAGTTGGAAATAGCTCTGATTGCATGACTGAAATAATGTTTTTCATAAAACTACAGGAATAAAATTCATCTTTATTTGCTGTCAGACTTGCCCTCCTGAATTGCATAGCACATTTCACCTTGTGCCAGTACATTGTGAAAAGGTCAGACTCAGAAAGGGCTTGCTAACACTTTGACCCAGCCTAAAGGTTATTGTTAAGTTTGCACCTGCTGAATTTCCTAAAAGTGTTGTTGCTGTTCTGTATGATATCAAAGGCAGAAAAGGTCAGGAAACTAGTGATGGGATTTCCGGCTCTTTTTAGAGAACCGGCTCTTTCGGCTCGGCTCATTAAAAAGAGCCAGCTCTTTCGCCCCCTGAACCGGCTCTTCAGGTTGTTTTGTTGCTTTAATTAATTTATTATTAACAATAATATGAAATTATGCACAAAAGGAATTACTAATGTAAAAAAAAGAGTGGTTTTATTTATACATGTTTACATATAAACATATGCGGTGGCCCCTAGAGACAAAGCACGTACAAACTCCAAAACACATTTCTAGCGTTAACTGAACTTCCAAAACAGAGCTGCCTACATCACTTAAATTACACAATTGAACGCAATGTGTTTGTGTATTTATACACAGGCACTCATATATATTCAAATAATTTAAAAAATGTTCATTTACCTGTTACTACCACACACCAAATCCGGTCGTTGGTACTTGCTGGCTTGTGTAGCCACTAGGTAACAAAAGCTCAACACTGCCCCCTAGCATCCTGGAGCACCTCTGTTGTGTTTTGTACGTGTTTTGAGTTTTTATGTGCTTTGTCTGTAGGGGCCACCGTAAATATACTTTTATTTATTCACGCCACATAAAATGTAATAAATAAATCATATAATACAAAAACCAACTAGTCACAGTTCAACTTTTAACTATTTAAATTTTCAGCTTTTTCCTTTTAAACAAATTTCAAGTGAAACAACACAAAACACTGCAAACCACAACACAATTAAATATAAATTAAAATATGAAAACAAAAAGAAGATGCATATTCTCTGTCATATGGACCTGCATGAATAAACTTTCTGAATCCTTTATCATCCACAGCTGAAAATAGTTGTGGATACAATACCTTTCTGATGGGAGGTTGTTGTCCCTGGCTCTCTTTCTCTCTCTCTCCCTCCCGCTCTGTTCCTGTGCTACTGCGAGTTTAACTATCGCCCCTCCCTCCTCTGCCCAGCAAAGCACAAGGCTCGCGTGCGGAGTGAAGCGAAAAAAGTGCGAGAGAGAGAGTGAGAGAAAGAAAAAAAAAAAACCACGGCTCGCGATAAGGAGCCGGCTCGCGTCGTTCACGTCAAAGATCTGGCTCTAAGAGCCATTTCATTCGCGACCGACACATCACTACAGGAAACAAAGCACATAAATCAAGCAGCTCGCAGAGCAGAGATTAGTTCAGACTGCAGTTTTTTTGATAGATGCAGATTATCTCTGCTAAATAGAGAACATACCAAAATGTCATTTGGATGCTATGTGAAACATATGTCATTCAGATTGCTTCTTCTATTTACCTGCAGAGACATGAATCTTGTGTTAATCTGCAAAGTAAAGTGGAAGTGTTAAGCCTTGGCTAACTGCCTTGTATGGGAAGGTAGCTGCATCTCCAGGAGCCTAGCTGAATATCCGGCTCCTAATGTTATTGCTGTAAAGCCACCTAGCACTCATTGGATGGCAGGCAAATCAGTGCTTCTGTTCCACTGATTATTTTGCTAAAGCACCCATTATACAAGAATTCTAATGAATGCAAATCATTCATTAGGCTTGCTAACAGAGCCTTATTTTTCATTGCATTAAGCAAAAGAAACAACAACAACAACAAAAAACAACTGCTGATGGCTTTGAGGTGATTACTGGAGTAGTCTAACAGGTTAACCTGTCCACATCTTCAGCGACAGCGCATCATGATTTTCAGTGAAGTCAGGTGAGCAGCTGTCCCTTTTATCCATCATGGTTGCAGTTGCCGCCACACTGACGGTAATGCATAAAACATGGGTTCCTTTCTTGTTCCTGCTACCTGTTGGCTCAGACCCAGGCTCTCTTTTGTTCTGCTCGCTTGGCTCATTCTGAAAGAGCCCCAGTTTAATTTGCACCCATGCTCTCAGTGAATCAAATGGTGGTGTATGCAGAGTGGTAATGAGGCAACATTTCCATTTGCTGTTCCTCATCAGCCGATTGGCATGCTCCATCACTGCGATGGCTGCTGTGGCTTGTTTGGTTATTTTGAACCCAATGCAGATTTACTGATGTGCATCACATGCAGCATTTTCAGAAGTTTGAGCTGTTGTTGTTAAGATGATTGAATTACGGTGTGTCGATTATCATCATCATCAGTATGTGTCTGGATTCATACACACACAGTAACATTTGATACATAATCTAAGACACATGCATGTTGTTCATTTTAAGCTACATATTGTGGCTCAATATATGAATTGGTGGTTTATATGTGCACTTGTTAACTTTAACCGTTCCTTGGAAATTTTATCCATTTCTAATGGGAGAAAATACTAATGATGCTGTCACTGGTGCCACAACATGAACGACTTTTTTTTTTCTTCAGCCCTAAAGTTAAAGAATTATAATATCTCTCATTTAGCTAAAACTCTGACAGAGTTCACAGAGGTATTTCTCAGGGGTGGAGCTTGCTGTGCAAGTTACAGAAATACAATTACGAAGGAGCTCCGCTGGCTTGCAAAGTTCAAAGAACTTCAAGATACATACAGCTTCAAATGGCAACACATATAATAGATATGCTACTTACTAATTACCTAGCTAACTACAGGGTAGCACGACTGCTCTATTATTAGTTTAAGTTTTCATTACAAGCACCAAGAAACAGAAACACTGTCTACAATATAAACAAAATCAAAAGCTGACTCTTCCGTCCCATATCAACTTTTCATTAAGTAACTAAGCACCACTTTTTCAGAGGAAAGATTGTCAGTAAAGTGAAAGAGAAATGAAGTAGATTCCCAGCATCAGAGGACTGACTACAAATCCCACGAATGTTCCTGTTGTGCGTCCAACACTGGCCTGATCACTGACCTCAGACTCCCTAACCAAAGATAGCTGTGCAGCTTCTTTCTTCAACTTAATTTCACCAAAGCTGCCATCTGTGACGTCGTGCAGCTATGAGGGGCATCTCTGATGAAATTATGGACATGTCGCTGCCGCTGATAGAGAGGAGCAGCCACACGCCAGTAGAAACAGATAACCTTTACCATGACTAATTCACTTGTTCACTGACCATCCACGAGTTAGCAAACCTGTGGTCCAAGATGCTGCAGAACAAATCACAGAGCTTTCTTTTCTGTATCAAGATCTGCAGATGTGGGTCAAAGCAGGAACAAGTTCATTAAAGCAGAATGTTTTCTTAAGAATCTACTTAAAGGAATATTGATCTTTTTAAATGACAGCATTTCGTACTGTTGAAATTCAATATTTCATCTTAAAAGTTTTAAATAAATAGCACAGCTGGCCAAACAGCAAACACAAGTGAGATTCAACTCTGACATGCTAAACTGCTGGCATTGTTACATTTTTGGACCCTAAAGAGAAAAACATGAATACTGTGCATGGTGGGGCTTTAAAGTCTTCCACTTTTTCATCGCTCAATTTTAAAACATTTAGACGATTTGATGTGGCATAGAGATTCTCTTGCCATCTGAAAATATAATATTATTGGGCAATAAATTGATATAGTAGTGCATTGTTCAACAATAAAAGTAGCCTTTTTTTCAACATCTGCTGTGACGACAAGGCTACCAGTAACTCCCTGCTAGCATAGCATGAATGCAGCATAAAGAACAACTCGGGTTTAAAATGTCGCCACACAAACTTATTTTGTTTCAGAGTAGGCAAAGATTTAAATAAAGAGAATTTAATTTAATTATGCATCGATTTACTGCAGGAACTAAAGATGTGAACAGCTATCGGTGTATCCAGTGTTGTTTGTATTTGTTGTAGATGTAATGGATTTCATATTTCAGTTACTTCAGCAACAATATAGATAGTTTGCACTTAAAGCAATCTTAAGAAGCACTTTTGAGCCAGTCAGGTTGTTTCTTCCTCTCAAGCAGCTCCAGGCCTAAGAATTTCAATATGCTTTATGGCCAGTGTCATGAAATGTGCTGTACATGCACTCACCATACAGTATGCTACTGTTGCTATGTCTCACTCCTGTCTCCTGTCTTGTCTCGGTTCACTCGGCTGGCTCGGATTTGGATCGTTGCCTGCCTGCCTGCCTGCCTGCCTGTGTGTGTTCATGTCCTGTTCCTGCACAACCACCTCCACCACCACCACCACCACCTTTGTCGCCCCCCTCATCTGAAGGCTATGAGAAATCCCGGAGCTTAAACAACATAGCGGGCATGACTGGCATGGCTGGTAACACTCTGAGGCTGTCTCCTGTGACCTCGCCCTATGGATCGCCCTGCCCGCTACGCCGCTCTCGCTCCCCTATCCCTTCCATCCTGTGAGATGTCCACCTCTGGACCACTTTGACCCCAACCAACCCATATCCGTTCCACTAACAAACCACATCCCTCTGGCATCAAATCCGAACTCTGTTTAGTTCTTGTGACTAGTGGAGAAGTACTCCACCATCGTAGCCAAGAATTGTGTAAATGTCTCGAGTAACCTGAGCAAGTTCTGCGCTTTTCCTTCGAGGTACATCTGCTTAGCTCACATTCATCTCCTGATGTACCTTTTAGCTCGATATTATCATAATGTGAGTCTTGCAATAAAAAAACTGTTACTGGTGGCTTCAGAGGTAGCAGCCATAACGTGTAATAAAGGACATTTAATAATCAGGGATATTAGATGTTGTTATATTTAGATACCTTGAAATAGATGTGCTTCCAGAAAAAGAAAGAGAGATGTCACTTTGTTTTAACCTCACACAAACTGTGACTTTGTTGATGGTAAACTGTGTTATAATTGGGTTGGAGTTGGAGAGGAGGGGCAAGTCGCTTTTCACCCGCTGTTGGGCCTGCTCATGTTTTTGCATGGATCATCCTGTAACCATCGTCTTCAAGCAGCGTGTACAGAGGAGGGGAGGAGAGCTCGAGGATCTGTAGAACAGACTTGGAGTTGTTTCTAGAAAATGTTGTTATGTTGGGATTTAGGCGAGGGAGGGCGTACCCGACTCGTACCATGTCTCATTTTGCCATTGGCTTCAGCAACAATCCACGAGGAGACTGAAAACACAGAAGCCCAGCTGGGCGTTGCTTTCTGCTCATTTGCTGCTATTTCTGAATAACTTTCTCCTCCTCTGTGTCTAATTTTCTTTTTCCTCTGACGTAGTGCCACCAAATCTGTTGTGTTTCTGGTTGTTTACTCACAGATAACTGCAAAGAGGTTGTCTTTACTGGTTTTACACAAGCAGAGAGCAGCGTTCTATCTTAATGGCTTGAAGAAAGGCACCGCCATAGTGGAAAGGTAAAGGAATGAGGGTGCGGTGCCATCTCACCCTTTTCTTGGCTATTTTTCAGTGTGTGTGTGTGTGGGGGGGGGGGGGGGGGGGCATAGACAGGTAGCATTTTATTCATGAGACAATGTCCACAAAAAATAAATAGATGTACGTCCCCAGACTACACAGTTGAAATTGAAGCTAATCAGTCTTTTTGACAATGACAGGCATAAACTGCCTCTGCGTACCAACAGGTGTGGGGAAGCAGACGTAACCATGCAGCAGTGTGCCTCGCCCATCACTACAGTGTGTCTATAGAAGTAGCAGGAGGTTGCTAAGCAACTGGCTCACAACTAGATGCATCTTCCACGTAGCTCGGCAAAAAGTCAAACTATCAGAAAGAGGAGCTTTTCTTTGTCTTTGCACCTAGTTATTGATTCACGCCTTACATGAACGACCCCAGCACACAGACGAGCCTTTAGAAATAAAATTTTGTACTGTTTTGATTTTTGTGCATATATTTTTAAACAGACAGCGTGTGCATGGTGAGATCTGATGCATTTCTTTCATCCAGACATGTGTTTATATTTTATTTAGACAATTCATTTCCTATTTGAATAACAGTGGGATAAATTGTCATCAGTATGAGGACCTATTGCAGTGGGAAGACCTCATTTGGAGCCATAAGGCCACGCCTACAGGACAATAAGGATGAGGACGCACCCGAGAGCCACTGACTGACAGGCTGTCGGTGAGCAGACTGGACAACTCACAAAAAATTCTTATTTTGAAAAGGAGAGGAAAGCAAACTGGGCTCGTCCTTAAAAGAGACTATCTAGTGTGTAGATTCTGCTCCTGTAAATACAAAACAACACAGCACATCTGGGCCATGTGGCTCTGTCCACACATCTGTCTTTTGATATAGCGAGTCAGGTACGAGGCGGCTCGCTGCTACGTTGCGCCGTTGACACTCTGAGTCGATCATATTTCTTGCTGTGATATCCCTCCTTGCAATAAATGTATTGAGACGCATCAGTCGAGGCACTTTGTGTTCAAAACAAGGAGTGTGTTCATATATGAAATTCCACACCGAGTATATACAGTGTAGAGAGGCAACGTTGAACAAATGTGACATTACGATCATCTCTGCTTTTGTTTCTCTCTGTAATTTCAGTAGGTTAATTGCTGCTGTGTGTAACTGTGTGTGTGCGTGCGTGTGTGCGTGTCCTAACAATCCAGGGTAAGGTCTATAGCTTGAAAGGCCCGGTCAGAGAAGACCAGCGAGTGGACTCGATGCTGTCACTCTTGTACATTTAGCACAAACAGAAATGAGACAGAGCTCCCCTGTGATGCAGTGCCGTTGTAGAAGTCCCCTCTCTACCCTGCGTTAGTGCTGCAGACGTTCATCTCTATACAAACCAAATTGTTCTGACCAGACTATTCCTCATGACTCCTGGTGGCTAACAAAAATAACTTGATTCTTCCAGATCTTTCCCCTTGTGGGGGTGAAGCAAACGTGTAGCAGAAGTTTGCCAAGTTATACAGCGGGACTTCTAGAATGGCTACATCTGCACCGTAGCAATCCCACATACCCACACAATCAGATTGGATTCGCAATAAGCACCCGAAAAACAAAAGCACCGATCCACACTGTGATTTCAGGAGCCTGTTAAAACAGGAAGGTGAAGGAAAACGAGTGAAAAAGCAGCTGGAGAAGCTGCCAGGCGAGATCTGAAAGTGGCACAACCGGCACAGTTGTAGGCTAGCTGTTCCAGTGTCGCCCTGAACCCACCATCCTCCTCATGTAGTACACACGCTGCTTCACTCTTTGAATTGACAAAGGGGTACCGTTCTTCGTGTATTTCTAGGATGATGTTATAACTTGAAAAAAAAGGTGTTTATTTTTTTGAAACCAGAACATGTATTTTTGTGTCTTACTGTGGAGTACTTTGCTCTTTCCTGTAAAGTCCTGGTAGTCTGATGCTGTGCTTCTACATCGTGTCCTCCAACTGTCAGGCTTTTGATCCAAGTTCATGTTTCGTATGTTTTACTGTGAGCATAATTCTAGTTTTTGTAATTCTGTATTTGTGGAGCCTTTTGTTGGCAAGTGCATGCTGAAAAGAAAAATCATTATGTCAAATTGTAAAAAAAAAAAAAATAAGATGACATATTGTATATCACGTTCAAAACAATGTGTATAGAGTAAAGGTAAATACTATGTGAGAGACTCACATAAACTATTTATCTTTTAACAGATGGTCTCTGTCTTTGCTTAATTTCACCTATTTTCTTCTTGGTTGTCAGAAAAACACAAATGTGTGTTTAACCTTCACGCACACCACACAAACCCTCACTTTTCATATAGGAGTCAATCGTCTCCACTTTTCTAAATAGAAAATCGACTTATTTCTTTTGATAATGCTTAACTTCACCTATTAAACCACCTTCAAACTTTCCCCTTTACATTAGTGACTCAGGTCTCTGCGCACAGAAAAAAAAAAAATCTAACCTGAATTGAAATTAAAATTAAAACTTTAACAATCCTGTTCCACAGTGTTAGTCAGTGACTGGCTGCTCCTGTATGGGATCAGAACGATGCCACCTTATCCCACAGTCCAGCCAATGATGCGATTCACATTCGTATATACGCAGCTAATCAACGTGGTTGACAGGCTCTGACAGCGTCCTCATGTGCCGGAGTTTTAGCGAGCAAAGCGGCTGATGTGGAGTGAAGCCAGGTTAATGACAACGTGTACAACCATTGGAGATGTGAGCAGGACAGACGGAACAACTGACGGACAAAGTGTGGACTTTATACCAGATTTTAAATTGTGTTGATCGGCCACGTAAAACCAGAGTTATGATAAAATATCTGCAATGTTTGTTTTTCTTCCTGAATACTGTCGTTGTTTATATTTCCTGCAGAAGAAACGGTAAAAACGGCGTTTTATAAGGAAAACGCTCGAAAGCCTGTGAGCAAAAACAACACCAAAAAAACCCCCCAGCCTTTCCTATTGGTGGAAAAATGAAACCTGGTCGACCAATCAAAAAATGATATGGCAACATGACATTTAGTTGTTTAGGAAGGGGGGGGTTTTAGGAGTGACGGCGGAGATTTGCGACATTTAGCGTGTTTGGAGTCTGAACATAGTGTGTTGTCTTGTGTAGTTAGTGTGCAGTTAGTGTGTAGTTAGTGTGTAGTCAGTGTGTAGTCAGTGTGTAGTCAGTGTGTAGTTAGTGTGTAGTCAGTGTGTAGTCAGTGTGTAGTCAGTGTGTAGTTAGTGTGTAGTTAGTGTGTAGTTAGTGTGTAGTTAGTGTGCAGTTAGTGTGTAGTTAGTGTGTAGTTAGTGTGTAGTTAGTGTGTAGTTAGTGTGCAGTTAGTGTGTAGTTAGTGTGTAGTCAGTGTGTAGTCAGTGTGTAGTCAGTGTGTAGTTAGTGTGTAGTTAGTGTGTAGTTAGTGTGTAGTCAGTGTGCAGTTAGTGTGTAGTTAGTGTGTAGTCAGTGTGTAGTCAGTGTGTAGTCAGTGTGTAGTTAGTGTGTAGTTAGTGTGTAGTCAGTGTGTAGTCAGTGTGCAGTTAGTGTGTAGTCAGTGTGTAGTCAGTGTGTAGTCAGTGTGTAGTCAGCGTGTAGTCAGTAGTGTTGTTGTGTGTCAGAACAATGAGGCGCCTGCTGAGTGTTACAGGTGTTACAGCAGTGACACATCTGCTGCTGTCAGGCCTGCAGGTATCAGGCTGTTGTTCTCCTTCATCTCATAGTGGACAGAAATTATTTTTTGGAGCAGCACAAATAATTTGTGTGGCATCAGATTAGATGCAGAACAGATTGTTCTGTAAATAGTTTGAAATGTTTATTTAAAAAAACGCCTTGGCTGCATTTTCAGGTAAACAGCTGCAAAAAACCACAGACTCATAATGTAGTCAGAGCTTTATAAAAAAAAAAAAAAAAAAAAAAGAAGAAAGTTGTGTTTTCAAAATTGGAGTTGAAGTTATTTTTACTTCCAATAGCGTTAACATGCTGCACATGAACAAGATTTTTTTTGATTTTCATTGTAAGTGGGATAAAGCAGTTAATTAAAAGTCGTCTAACATAAATGTAAATGCTGTAATTTGATTATTTTAATAAACATGTGACTTGGATGGATTGGATAATGGCGTGACCACAGTGCACACGTCTGCTGTTGCTCACAGTGGTCCAAGTGTCCGCTCAGGGAGTTTGTGTGAAACACCCCCAACATTGAACCAGCCGTCCAACCTGAGCCAACCTGCCCGACTTAAACTGACTGCAGTGAATCTCAAACAGATACATTTTTTTGCCATGATATATGATTTTCATCATTTATAGATTTGATATTTCTGCAAGTTTATTACAGTTAGTAGCCAACTTGCTCCTATTCAGTTAACTACTGAAACCAGACTGATCCATCTAATCGCTCATTTATTGACGCCTCAACACAAAGTGGATGTGAAGATGGCAGCTGGCTGTGAGTGGTCACACACCTGGTCCCCATCTTTGAAGCAACTGTTTCAAAAGCAACATGCTCGCTGCAAACAGCTGCCGTAATTTCGGTTGTGTCGTGGTGACCATGCTGACTGCTGTTGTCCTTAGTGTGACATTCCTTATGAGGACATTTGAGCGATGGCGGGGGTGTAAGGGTCATTTGACACTTGCCGTGAACACACCAACAGCGCTGGCCGACAAAGATGATGTAAAATTGTAACATCGCTAGTCCCATTTCTGCATACATGAAGCATAAATAGAGGTGGCAATGTAATGACGTCACTGACTACACATGTGACCAACGCTGGAGGTGTACTGGTGTATACTCTAACCTTGAATTAAAGCCAGGAGGCAAGTTTGTGTTCCATCACTTTGTTCCTTTAGATCAGGGCTGCCCAATCCCGGTCCTCGAGAGCTACTATCCTGCAGCTTTTAGATGCATCCCTACTCCAACACAGCTGAATCAAATGGTTTGATTACCTCTTCAGCATGCCATCATGTTTGGCAAAGGCCTGATAACAAGCCA